AGTGCATTTAGACACTCCCTCCCCCTTTAAGAAACAAGCCACATTCAAGCAAGCCTTATGCCAGTTTACATCCAGATTGTCTAGGAAAACTTGCCTGTGGAATATCAGAAGGCAACCGGATCATTAAAGTCAAGGGGTACTTAGATATTAGCTCCCAAAGGCTGGTTCCTGGCCTCTCTTTGGCTTGAACCTCTTGATGGGATTTATGCTGACAAATCAAAAAGGAGCATCTCCACAATTTGTGGCTCTGATCGAGAAAAAGGGATCTTTATCCTCTTAATCAAAGGATGTGGCACCCCAAGTTGGATCTGTGACATGTCCCTCGGCCTCCAGAGGCTCCGGCATGCCGGAGGTTAAGGGTTTGTTAAAGAATATCAATTTTGATTAAGTGACACACATGGTGTAAAATACCCCCTTTATCCTTTTGAGAAGTGAAGGTTAGAGGCCAGACTGTACTTTTTAGTGAGTTTGTAATTAAATTTGATATCTTAGGTAACAGGATTGATCTTTTAGTGCACCAGTGAATGTGTGTTTGGTAAGATATCACAAAAGCTATCTTCCCTGCACCAACACTAATAGGCTGGTTACCCATCGTTTTGGAGAAGGACATTGTGGTAACCCAGAAATTTCTCCCCTCCCCCTTTTCTTCATTTTCTTGATGCAGTGGGCAAAGGTCTAGCATCCTTCACTCTTTGTGTATTTCAGGCCTTGCCTTTGCATATCACTCAGTTAAGCTTTGAACCAATCTTTTTTTAAGTTGGCTTACAGCTACTAAAAGTTCCATGAACGTAAAGATGAAGCTACTAAAATAGATTTAAGAAATATATTTTTATCCATTGTTGTATACACACACACACACACACAAATATTAGAAAGGAAGGGAGAGAGACTAAAGATTCATCTCAGGGCAGTGGTGGGATTCAAATTTTTTTACTACAGGTTCTGTGGGTGTGGCTTGGTGGGCATGGTGTGGCTTGGTGGGCATGGCTTGGCGGGTGTGGCAGGTGAAGGGTACTGTAAAATCTCCATTCCCACCCCACTCCAGAGGAAGGATACTGTAAAATCTCCATTCCTTCCCCACTCCAGGGGAAGCAGGGGTGGGTTCTACTTACCTTTACTACCGGTTTGCAACAGGGCCGCGAGCATGCACAGAAGCATTTTCATGATGTCAAGGTCAGTAGGCGGAGCCTCTTGCCAGTTTTACTACCGGTTCTATAGAACCAGTGCGAACCAGGGACAACCCATCACTGAGGGGAAGGTTACTGCAAAATCACCATTTCCTCCCGATCAGCTGGGACTCAGGAGGCAGAGAATAAATGGGGTCAGGGCCAGTCAGAGGTGGTATTTACCAGTTCTCTGAACTACTCAAAATTTCCACTACTGGTTCTTCAGAACTGGTCAGAACCTGCTGAAACCCACCTCTGTCTCAGGGTAACAAAATGAATTCCATTTACTTTCAAGTCCCTAGTGCTTTTTTTGACTTCATAAAGAAACAGACAACGGGAAAACAAAGGGATTGTAAATTGCTAATTACTAGCTCTGTTTTTTTCCTGTTTTAGATCCCTCCCACCTCTCTCATTTTTCAATGTGAATGAATGCTCCTTTGAGAATCATTCAGATATTAGCTGAAGGGAGAGGATGTTAAATGAGTTTATAGCACTAAATTTATTAATTTAAATTTCCTCATACATTGAACTACTTGAATATTATCATTATAAACAAGCAAAGTTTTTGTTTAGATTCTTGGGGCTCTCTGAATTTGGATGTTTCCTTGCAAAAGTTTCATTACCATGCTAAGTAACATCACCAGTGTGAAGGAGAGTGGAGTTTTGGACTGTCTATACGTAAGAGCTTGCCCTACTAGCCTTAATGGGGCAATGACTTCCTCCTTTTTTTAAAAAAAAAGTTTTTTACTTTTTGACAAACATTTAATACATCAGTTTTCTCTTCCCTGTGACATCTCTGTGTTATCTTCCAAAGTTCTTTCTTTTTCTGTATAGCTGTCATTATTTCTATCTTGATCCTTATCCAGTCCACTATATCAATTCATCACTAACATAATATTCAACTCATCACATATTTTTACATACTTATATAATTAATCATTTATATCTCTTCTCCAGCCAATAATAAAAATCATTCCATATTTTAAAATATTCTGAGTCTTCTCTATCTTTAATCATCATAGTTAATCTATTCATTTCTGCACAATCTAAGATTTTTTTAATTACTTTTTCTTTCAAAGGTACTTTCTCCGCTTTCCAATTTTGTGCATAGACAATCCTTGCAGCTATTATTACATGTATTATCAGATAAACTTTTCCCTTACTAATTTTTTCAGGTAGGATACCCAGTAGGAACAGCTCTGGTTTAAATTCGATACGTTGATGTATCATTTCCTCCAACCAAGTCTTAAGTTAAATCCAATAGTTTTTAGCTTCCCTGACATGTCCACCACATATGATAATATGATCCTGGAGAGCAATGACTTCCTCCTTGATGGCTCCTATCTGGTACCTTTATTCCCCTCTCCTTTCCACTGATGACATTACATAGTCTGGTAATGAAACAACCTAGCCCCAAGAACAGCAAGAACCTGACAAAAATGTTGTAATGGTATTACAGTATAATACTAAAAAGTTCATCCCTAACTTTTGATTGCCATCAAAAGCTAGCGCTCACAATGTTAGAATTTTTACATGCAGCAAACTCATATGCCACTTTGCTAGGGATTCCACAAGAGATCATTAAAAAGAAAAGTTTTGTGTGCTGTGTAACTCTAGTTGTAGATATAATAATATTTATGCAGTGCTTTCCCCATACCTGAAAATGATTTCAAGGATTCTTCCAGGGTAAAAAGTTTGAGGAAGGCTGCCCTCATGTTTTGTACAAGGAAACTACTGTTAGCACTATGAAACTATTAAGTCAGAGTCAATAGCACTTAAACTTATATACTGCTTCGTAGTGCTTTTACAGCCCTCTCTAAGTGGTTTACAGAGTCAGCATATTTTCCCCAACAATCTGGGTCCTCATTTTACCCACTTCGGAAGGATGGAAAGCTGCGTCTACCTTAAGCCTGGTGAGAATTGAACTTCCAAACTGGCAACCAGTAGTCAGCAGAAGTAGCCTGCAGTACTGCATTCTAACCACTGCGCCACCACTCAATATTTCAAATTTATTTTGCCAACCTTAATCCATTTTTGCTGGTCCCTATTTCCTAGTTTATCTTCAAAGCTTCACTTGTTAACATCATCTTCAAGAGACCCTTCACTGCATCTATTGTGGTCGAGAGCGTGGTTCCTTGAGATGATTTTTGCATTGTTCTGTTGCAAATAAAAGACAGCGTAACGTTCCTTAAACAATGTTTCTTGCCGCCTGACCAAAAGGATTTTAGAATATGTGCATCAAGAGTAAAATAAAGATTTCTTCCAAGCAAGCTCTACTTCTACTGATTCTATAGACCTATCCTGATTACAGCATAGATATGTTTGCACCATTTTTCTCCTGGGATGTTATTTCAATGTTTTGCTTGGGGCTATCCTTGAAAAAGGTCTGGTAAATATTTGAAAAATAATGCCTAATTTAAATGGAATTACAACACAAAAAGAAGACTCTAAAGAAGAATTAAGCTTGCCAGTTCCATATATACCAGTCTTGATCCAGATTAGACCACCGTGGAATAAAGAAAACCCATAGGGAAACTGCACATAATATGCTTTATATATCATGTGGTTTGCATGTTATTTCCATATTTGCATAGAGCAAATGGTTAGCCATAGCTTGTAACCATAATAACATAGTATAAACACAACCCCAGGAGTGGTATAAATAATAATAACAACTATCATCATACATTGTAATGCAAACTAGTAAAGCTGATTTAAAATCTGGTTTGTTTTCATAGTAATTATAACCATGAACTTACTGTCTTTTCTTCACAGTATCAACCTTATTAAGATAAAACATGTAGCCATATTCTGATGATCCTAATAAATTACCCTGGGTTGCCAATTCATTTTACATTCATTTCTTCGGGGGAACAAAACCGCAAGTGGACGGTTTAATTGCCCTACTCTCCTCATTCACAGTTAGGCAAAATCCTTACCTCTCATTTCTTCCTGTGCCACATCCAAAGGTGGCATCTTACATATCTATTTATCCTTCATTTATAATGTAGATATGTATGCTCACCAAATCATAGCAACTCTGAGCATCCTGCAGTGAAAGAGCAGGATGAAAGAGCAGTGGTGGCGCAGTGGTTAGAATGCAGTACTGCAGGCTACTTCTGCTGCCTGCTGCCTGCCTGCAATTTGGCAGTTCTAATCTCCCCAGGCTCAAGGTTGACTCAGCCTTCCATCCTTCTGAGGTGAGTAAAATGAGTACCCAGATTGTTGGGGGCAATAGGCTGACTCTGTAAACCGCTTAGAGAGGGCTGTAAAGCACTGTGAAGTGGTATATAAGTCTAAGTGCTATTGCTATTCCACAAATTAAAAACAAAACACAAACAAACAAGCAAATTAAAGATGCCCATAGTAAGAGAAACAAATATTCAATAGCATACCAGACATAATTTATTCCAAGTTTTCAAAAGGCAACTGGACTTTCTTGTTTTTCTCCCTTGAGAATGTTTCGTTTCTCACCCAAGAAGGTTCTGAACTAAAAAAAAGCTTCTTGGATGAGAAGTGAAACATTTTCAAGGAAAGAAACCAAGAAAGTCCAGATGCCTTCTGAAAAGCACCTTTGGTACAGCTACAATAATGTGGGTTTTTTTTTTTTCATGTTTGGCAGTAGGGCAGGTCCAACTTATAGGCTGAATGAACAAACAAAAAATATGGTTATAAATACATGAGTTAGTGAATTATATACGATATAGACAGAAATAAAATTAATATCTTGCCAGCAGGTAGAGATGTGATGTATTTAGAATAATAATCAATAATGCTCTATTACAATATTTCTAACAAAAACGAACTCAAAAATATAGTTTCCTCTTTCATCTTGACTGAACAATTTTTTATTATACTCAGTAGCTGTTTGCTACTGAAATGAAATGGTTTACATTTATGATAGGATATAAATATTAAAACAATTTTTCCCGAAGGACAGAATCACTACATCTCTATAATCACTGTATTCTGTATCATACATAGAAGAGAAACTAAAGCACCATTATACAGTATATTAACATGATTATCCATCTTTCCTTTCCCCCCCACAAATACCAACTTAAAACTCTTTTTAACTATTATCAATTCCTTATTCTTATCCCTGTAGAAATAGTCCCCATTTCTATCCACCATGTCCTTGGAGGATTTCTTGTAAAAATGCAGCATCAGCTTCCATGAGTTTTTCTCAGTGAACTGGCTTAGTAGAATTGTGTATAAAACTGGCAATCTATATTCAAAGAGCTATGACTTCTGTGAAAAAAAATGAGAAATGTGCAGCTTTAGTGATTGGTTTGGTAATTTGCTAGGGACATTTGCCTGGCATTGGGTGTAGAAAAGGTTGAACAGGTGACCTTTGATAGGTTGCCAAGAGAGGCCTGTTGTCTCCTTGGGAATTCTAATGGCTTTATGACTTCATCCCTACAGGCTAAACAGTCAGTTACTATCAGTTATCAGAGTGAAGATGCTTTCCAAGAGGTCGGTTGGTCTTCAGTAGAGCTCCTGGATTCTGAGAAACTTCTCTTTTTGTAGCCATTAGGTTAAGTTAAGAAAGGATGGGGAGGGAAAAGAGAGGAGAGGGGAGGGGAGGGGAGGAGAGCAGAGCAGAGCAGAGCAGAGAGAAGAGAAGAGGGGGAGGAATGGGAAGAGGGATGAGTATATGGTGGAGAAGGGAATTGAGGTATGGGACTACAATTAGGAGGGGATTGAGGAGAGGGGGAGGTAAAAGAGAGGGGAAAGGGGAGAGGGGGAAGACAAGGTGGGCATCAGGGATGGTATTCACTTACCTTTGCTACCGATTCGCAAATGTGAGCGCGCTCAGGGCCTTCCACGCATGCGCAGAGCATCATAAACGTGGATAAATGAGACGTGATTACATCCAGGCGGGTGGGCGGAGCCTCCCACAGCTGCTGCTACTGGTTCACCCGAACTGGATAGAACCAGCTGAATACCACCTCTGATGAGTATGTGTGCTGGAAGAATGGGAAAAGGAGTCAGGAGGAGAGGAGTTGAAAGGGGAGGGGGAGGGAGAAAGATGGACTTTCATCAGCTTGGGAATTCTAATGGCTTTATGACTTCATCCATGCAAGTTAAACTGTCAGTTACTGTCAGTTATCAGTTATCAGAGTGAAGATGCCTTCCAAGAGGTCAGTTGGTCTTCAATAGGGCTCCTGGATTCTGAGAAACCTCCTCTCTATTTGTAGGCAACTATCAGAGAAGTAAATGAGGATGAAGGTGAGGGTTAGGATTAGAGTTAGATTTAGGGTGAGGACCGTTTAGGTTTAGAGTGAGGTTTAGTTTAGGATGAGGCTGAGGGTTGGGATTAGGGAGGGGAGACAAAGTGTGAGTAAGGGAGATAGAGAGGGGAGGTGGAGAGAAAGCAGAAGCAGGATTTAGAGGGAGAGGATGAGAATGGAGATAGAGAGGGTAATGGAAATGGACTGTGGGTACATGGAGAGGGAAGGAGAGGGGAGAGGGACAGGGAAATGGAAAGGTTAAGTTAAGAAAGGAGAGGTATGGGGAAAGAAAAGAGAAGAGAGGATGGAGGAGAGGAGAGGAGAGAAGAGAAGAAGGAAGGAAGAGGGAAGGGAGAGGGATGAATGGGAAGAGGGTTGAGTATGTGGTAGAGGAGGGAATCGAGAGTAGGGGACTGCAATTAGGAGGGAAGTAAGGGGAAGGGGCAATAAAAGGGAGAGAAGAGGGGAGAGGGGAGAGGGGAGAGGGGGAAGACAAAGTGGGTAGTGTGCTGGAAGAGTGGGAAAGGGAGGGAGAAGGAGAGGAATTGGAAGGGGAGGGGGAGGGAGAAAGATGGATTTTCATCAGATTTGGAATTCTAATGGCTTTATGACTTCATCCATGCAAGTTAAACTGTCAGCTATTGTCAGTTTTCAGAGTGAAGATGCCTTCCAAGAGATCAGTTGGTCTGGAGATTCTAAGAAAGGGAGCACAGCTATGGTACACTCTTGACCCTTGACAGAAGATTGCTATACTCCTATCTGGGATGGTCATTCTCTTCCACAGCTTTGGGAGGGATGAAAATGGAGATGGAGGAGAGGGAGGAGACTCCTGCCTAGCCAGCCAAATCAGCCGAGTCAACCTTGATGATCAAAGGCTTGTGTGATGACCCGGGGCATGGCACAGAGACAACACATTCAACTGATAGTTCAAACTGCCCCTTTATTGCTCCAACTTTCCCCCAAACACTCCCACATTTTTGACAAGTCCCAGAGCAAAGTGATATCACAAACACACACATACCTCCAACAGCCTCTGGCTGCAAGTAGTCCAGCACAACGCTGTAAGCACCATGGCTGTAAAACAAGAAATCCAGCAGGGCAAGGGAATAAGTCAATGAGTCCAGGAAGCAAAGGAACAAGGCAATTAATCCAGGAAGCAAGAAAAAAAGCAAGAAGTTCAGGAAACTTCAAACGTTGGCAACGGCACACAACACTCCATGAATTCAGTGTTTGTTCCCAACAAATGCCCCTCCCCACAGCGTTTCCTTAAGTCTCAGTCCCCAGGTATGCCTTGTGAAGAGGGGCGGGGTGCTCTCCTCTTGAGTTGTTGGGTCAGCCTGCGCTGTTCCCACCTTCTCTCTACTCTCTGTGCTCGAGGATCAGGACGGGTGGTCCTTGGTCATTGCCTGAGCTCTGTCTCTCATGTTCACTGCTTAACCTCTCTTGGTCATCCTGCCCCCATTCCTGCCTACAAGCCATCCCAATCCTGAAAGGCCCTGGCCTGACTCGGCCTGCTCCTTCCCACATTTCTCTGAAGCCTACGAAGCCACCCCCTCAATTTCCATCGGCTCCAGTTCTGGCTCATCTTCCTCCGCAGATTCAGGCTCCAATGCAGGCATGACAGCTTGATAGATTGTACTCATTTCCAAGAGGCAAGTTAGTCTTCAATAGGGCTCCTGAACTCTGGGAAACCTTCTCATGGCTTCGTTGAATCCCGGTTCAGAGGAGGAGGAGGAGGAGGAATTGGGACCAGGACTGTTGGAAGGGGAGGGCAAGGTCCCCTCCGAACAAGTGGAGAATTCAGGGGCTGAGGACGAGGCAGTCCCAAAGTGTCTGGTGAGTGGGGGGAATGGCTGACCAGATGGAGAGCCATCTGCAGAGCAGGCCCCAGACCACCTCTGATGAGAAACAGCTGCCTCCCATCTTGCGGATTTAGTACTTGTATCAGTGGTGTGTTGCCCCTGGTTCGCACTGGTTCTATAGAACCAGTAGTAAAACCTGCGGGAGGCTCCGCCCACTGACCCTGACATCATTAAAATGCTTCTGCGCATGCAGAAGCGAGAGTGTGCGCCGGGCCCCGTTGCGAACCGGTAGTAAAGGTAAGTAGAACCCACCCCTGACTTGTATGTATTGTTACTTTCCTCTTTGCCTTGTGGGTTGGCTAGGACTTACATCGTGGAACTAGAGAATTCAGACTGAGGGAAAACTGAGGGCTGGGGCGGAGCTTCACTGGCACCAATGATGGGTTGTTTGATGCTGTGATAAGTGAGCAATAAACGGATGCTACTTAACCTCCGCCTTGCCAGACCAACTTGATTCAGAACAGTCTGCTCCACCCTACCCAATCTTCTTGTGGAGGACCTTAATTGTGGCCAGACAGGATGGAGCAGATTAAAGTTAGGTTTAAGGTAAGAGTAAGGATGAGAGTGAGAGAGTTAAGATTCAGGTGAGGACAAGTTGAGGGTGACAGTGAAAGTTAGGATGTGGAGAGGAGGCAGAGAGTGAGTGAGGAGGAGGGAGTGGGGGAATTAGGAGGGAGGGAGAGAGAGAGAGAGGGAGGGAGGGAGGGAGGGAGGGAGGAGGGAAGGAAGGAAGGAAGGAAGGAAGGAAGGAAGGAAGGAAGGAAGGAAGGAAGAAAGAAAGAAAGAAAGAAAGAAAGAAAGAAAGAAAGAAAGAAAGAAAGAAAGAAAGAAAAAGAAAGAAAGAAAAAGATTGCCTTCATCGTGCCATGAACCTGCTGGAATCATGTCACCTTGTGCCTTTTCTGTGTTTGGATTGAATTTTTTTTTCACTTCCCTCCCAAATGTACCTACAACTGACATCAGAAATTTTCTGAGTTCCTGAAATTGTCCATTTTTTAAAAAAATCCAGGATTATTTCTAAAACTAAAATTCCACAGATTGAGAACCACTGGTCTAAGCAGTTTACAAATGTCAGCATATTGCCCCCAATAATCTGGGTCCTCATTTTACCAACCTCAGAAGAATGGAAGAATGGAATGAGTCAACCTTCAGCCCTGTCAGGATCAAACTCCAGACTGTGGGCAGAATTAGCCTGCATTCTAACCAGGGGTGGGTTCCACTTAACTTTACTACCGGTTTGCAATGGGATCACGCACACGCTCTTCTGTGCATGCACAGAAGCTTCTGCGCATGTACAAATCACCAATGATGACGTCGGACAGGGTGGGCAAAGCCTCCTGCCGGTTTTACTACCGGTTCTATAGAACCGGACAGAACCAGGAGCAACCCACCACTGATTCTAACCACTGCGCCACCATGGCTCAGTTTGCTTATTGTTGTGAGCTAAATCAAACACAGTATTGTTGTTGTTCTGGTTGTCATTTAATGTCTAAAGCCACGTATACCCAGATGTAGGCAAGTGCTAAGAAATCTTTTATTTGACAAACATTAAAGATTTTTGCTTTACATCCTTGCTGGTGTAGGGGGTAATAGAGAGGACCTTGGAAAAACCATTGTAACGACTGTCATCCATGAATTTTTACCATCAGTATCCAACCTCCTAATATTACATTCTGCAATTATTACCCTAAGATGCCCTAAGATTGCATGAATATAGTATCGTTATAACTAGGACAACAAAAGCTATAAAATATAGAACACTGAAACATTGTCAGGTGGATTACTTTAGCAATGAATAATACAGACTTCCAGATTTGGTCTCGTTTGATTCTCTTTCTCCTTGGCTCACTGGTCTTAAAGAGCTCTAGAGGAAAAAAAAATGGGCCAATCATCAAAGAAGGGAGATTACAAGCTAATGTACCAGCATTTAAAGTTCATTTTTCTCCTCTAAATAAATACATATATAAATATATAATATATATTGTTGCCTAACCAGAAAGAGATCTAGAACCACTTCACATATACCGTATGTTTTGGACTATAAGATGCACTGGAGCATAAGACACACCAAGATTTCAAAGAGGAAAACAAGAAAAAAAATAGTTTTTGGCCTCCGCGCATCCGGTTTTTGCCCTCCCCATCCCCCAGGAGCACTCTGCAGGCCTCCCAAACCCTCTGCACAACCTGTTTTTGTGAAAAACAGGCCTGTTTTGGGGGAAATGGGCCTGTTTTTGGGAAAACGGGATGTGCAGGGCAGGGTTTTGGGAGGCCAAAAATGGCTGTATTTGGTGTATAAGATGCACCAACATTTCCACCCTCTTGGGGGGGGGGAGTACTTTTTGGGACTGCTCCTTTTTGGGACTATAACTATCAGCTCTGTTTTCTAGGACTAATGATCCCAATAACAATTTTCCCTGGATTCATTTTATTTATTTATTTATTTATTTTATTTATTAAATTTGTATACCGCCCTTCTCCTTTCGGACTCAGGGCGGTGAACAGCCAAAATAAAAACATTTGTACACAAAAGTTAAAATAATTATTAAAACTAATTAAATGAAATTTGGCCCATAATTTAAAACATATCAATTAAAAATCAGTATCAAACGTTAAAACCAACATGGAATCAGACCAGCCCGGCTAGCTGAAAAAAGTAAGTTATTAGGGCCCGACGAAAAGTCCGCAGGTCTGGGATCACTCGTATCTCTGGGGGTAGATCGTTCCAGAGGGTAGATGCCACCACAGAGAAGGCTCTCCCCCTGGGGGTCGCCAACCAACATTGTCTGGCTGACGGCACCCTGAGGAGGCCCTCTCTGTGGGAGCGAACTGGCTGGTGGGAGGCAATTGGTGACAGAAGGCGGTCGCATAAGTACCCCGGCCCTAAGCCATGGAGCGCTTTAAAGGTGGTCACCAACACCTTGAAGCACACACGAAAGTCCACCGGAAGCCAATGCAGCTCGTGCAGGAGAGGTGTCATGTGGGAGCGCCCCGTCGCTCCCATAATCCCCGCGCGGCCGCATTTTGCACCAATTGGAGCCTCTGGGTGCACCCCAAAGGGAGCCCCATGTAGAGAGCGTTACAATAGTCCAGACAAGAAGTGATGACTGCTTGAGTGACCGTGCGTAAGGAGTCCCGATCTAGAAAGGGGCGCAATTGGCATATCAGGAGAATCTGATAGAAAGCCCCCCTGGCCACGGCCATCGTATGCTCTTCTAAAGACAGCCGTGCATCAGGAGGATGCCCAAGTTGCGGGCCCTTTCCGTGGGGGCCAATGATTCACCCCCAATAACCAGCGATGGCACCAGCTAGCTATACCAGGACGCCGGCAGCCACAGCCACTCGGTCTTGGAAGGGTTGAGTCGAAGCCTGTTTCTCCCCATCCAGACCTGCACGGCCTCCAGGCACTGGGACATCACTTCCAAGGCATTGTTGGGATGGTCTGGGGTGGAGATGTACAGCTGAGTGTCATCAGCGTACTGATGGAACTCCACCCCAAAACCACAGAAGGTCTCACCCAGCGGCTTCACATAAATGTTGAACAGGAGGGGCGAGAGGACCGACCCTTGTGGCAACCCACAAACAAGGCGCTTCGGGGTCGACCACTGCCCCCGTCAACACAGATTGCGACCGGTCGGAGAGATAGGAGGAGAACCACCGCAAAACGGTGCCCCCCCACCCCCAAACCCTCCAACTGGCGCAACATGATACCATGGTTGATGGTATCAAAAGCCGCTGAGAGATCTAATAGGACCAGGATAGAGGAATAACCCCTACCCCGAGCCCTCCAGAGATCATCCACCAACGCGACCAATGCCGTTTCCGTGCTGTACTCAGGCCTGAAACCAGACTGGAGTGGGTCCAAATAGACAGCTTCATCCAGGTACTGGGGAAGCTGCCACGCCATCACACTCTCAACAACCTTTGCAATAAAACGAAGGTTGGAGACTGGACAATAGTTAGCCAAAACAGCCGGATCCAGAGAGGGCTTCTTGAGGAGGGGCCTCACCACCGCCTCTTTCAAGGCGGCCGGCAGGACACCCTCACTTAAAGAAGCATTAATAATTCTCTGGAGCCAGCCTCGTGTAACCTCCCGGGAAGCCAGCACCAACCAGGAGGGACACGGGTCCAATAAACATGTGGTCGTGTTCAGCCGTCCCAAGATCCTGTCCACATCCTCGGGAGCCACAGGATCAAACTCCTCCCAGATAACACTCTCAAGACCTGCCTCAGTCATCTCATCTGAACTAACCCAGTCAGCGGCCAAGTCTTCCCGAATCTGAGTTATTTTATCATACAGATATTGTACAAAATCCTCAGCTCGGCCCTGCAAGGGGTCATCCTGCGCTCCCAGATGGAGGAGGAAGCAGGTCACCCTAAACATTTAAACCCTAATTTTAAATGTACTATCACTCAGCCAGACCTGTTACCAACTGAGACAGGTATTCAGAGAAGTTAAGCAATACTGGAGATGTCATGGAGAAGGTGTTCAGGACATTATCCACATTTTGATAAGAGGGTTGTACACCCTTGAAAAATTCTTTGAAAGAAATTCTCCAGAGTTTGTACAAGAACAAACACAGTTTCTCTCTGTTATTCATTAAAGCAGCCTATCTCTTTTCAGGCTCCAAGAGTTGCATTAACTTCAATGAACTTACTGCTTATTATTGCAGCGTTTTTTTTCAGATTCACATGTTTTAATGACTAGCAAAGATGTGCTGTGCTTACAAAGCACTTCTCCCTGATCATTTTCAAAGCATTCACTGCCTTCACTGAAAAGTTCTAATTCCAAACTTTGGAGTGATTTCCCCTCGAGAGGTTTCAGATGGCGGGAAGGCAGAGTTGAGCCTTGTGGGTTAGTATGGTGTAATTTCTAAGTCAAGGAACACATTCCTTCAAGTTATGTCATTTAAAATTTGTCTGATACAGTCTTTTTAAGACATGATAATTCTGCCATCCTTCAAAGATGTTGCAAAATTACCATGGATAATTTAGTTTGCCATCAGCAACTCCCAGTCAGTCCCTCTCTCCAGATCAGAGCAAGCACACCTATCTGGTAGAGCCAGTAAACATAAACTTTGATGTTTGTTTAAAGGAGTTAATTGGCCAAATGAGGTAAAGGGTAATCCTAAATAGAGAGGGAGGGAGAGGGAGGGAGGGAGGGAGAGACAGAAAGAGACAGACAGACATGAACTGTAGACAAGAATATATCTTAAGTACATATAATATCTATATAAAAATTACAGAACTTTTAAAACTTTTAAAACATTTAGAACTTTTAAAAGCCTGTGGGTAATTAGCAAGATTCCCAAAGAAAATGGCCTTTGGCTATTCCAACTTTATAGCAAACAGTAGTAGCAGAATCTCACCGGAGAAGAGCCTAATGCTGGGAAAGGTTGAGGGCAAAAGAAGATGGGGACGACAGAGAATGAGGTGGCTGGATGGAGTCCCTGAAGCGTGAGCTTAAATGGATTCCAGAGGATGGTAGAGGACAGGAAGGCCTGGAGGAACGTTGTCCATGGGGTCGCGATGGGTCGGACCCGACTTCGCAACTAATAAGTATTAGAATAGATATGGAAAATATATCACCATGTGATCTCTCCTCTATTCTGTATCATTAAAGAAACAAGTTGGTGGATGGAGGCGATTTATACAACAAAAGAGGCATTTATAAATTAGGACACCACTAATTATGTTTTGGCTTGCAAGTTACAAGCTATGTTGGGTAAGGGAAGAAATCAGATGAGGGGATATCATATACTATTTTCAACAAACCTACAGCACCACAAATTAAAATTGGTCCAATGTGTTTACAAGAAGAGTTCTCAAATGACCTTTTAAATGATTGCCATGGATACCCTAATGCTATCCAGAGATGGCCCGCAAAAATCTCATTCAAGGCCTCATCACAAGCCAGTGAAGATCCCACTATCATATACCAGGGACCGGCAGGGAAAAATGACCCTCTCGTAACTTGAAACAATCCATCAAACCGCACACTTACCGATCAAGTATCCACATGAACACCTCCTCTACAGCCTATTTTACCACAGCGAATGTTCTCAAATGGACCTTATGGTTCTGCATGATCAGAATTTGAATAGAGCTTCTTGCTCGAGTTTGTGCTGTGCCCGCTTCAGACTTCAGCAACGATGGATTGTTAGTCACCATGCCTCCCTATTTCTCATTTAAGCAGCAACATGTAGATACTCCGTGATGTTAACTCCAAATATTGTGTCACTAGCAAAATTTTCCCAGAGCTGTTTAATTTTTTTTAACCCTTATTTTTAAAAACTGATACTCTTTTTTCTTTTGATTCTAGGAAGGGAGGGGCATGTGGAAAACAACTATTTACTGCCTCAAAGATTAATGCCTAAACTTGAACAAGTGAATGGTATGTTAAGAGCTGTCACACACCTCCAAATCAATGCATTGATGTTCTAAAGTAGTGGTGGAGGCAGACGAGCCCCCAGATTTTAAAACAGAAGAGGTTTCGTAGACGTAAGACTGCTAATGATTTTATCACAGAGCACAGGTGCCATTTTGGATTTTAAACAGAAGCTCTGGATTAATTTTCTTTTAATATGCTTGAAATATTAAACCTGTCACCATTGCATTTTCTGATTATTTGTTTCCATGTTTGTTGATTATAGATATTCAGAGTTCATGTTATGTATTTGTACATGTGCTCCCCGCCAGCTTATTTTTAGGACTGCATTTGACAGTGATTATTCTTCTGCTGCTTAACTGACAAAGCAAAGAAAGGAGTGGGCACAGGGAGAGAGGCCGAGTGACAGATGGGATGGCAGAAAACTGAATGGCCTTTGACATCCTGAAACAGAAGGGAGAATAGCCAGTGAAATATAATTAGCTATAAGCATCTAATCTATTAATGTGGCTTCTCCAACTTCTACTGAATAAATATTCCTCCAAGTTCATATAAAAATGAGACATTTAACAAGGAAGCCTTCAGCTTCTTAGTAAAGAAGCTCCACGTATCAACATAGAACTTAGTCAGAAAGCTGACAGAAGAATTTGTAGCATTAGGTTGCATCCATATACTTTTAGGTCATAATCCAAAAGCTATTCAGCAGAACAGCTCACCCTTTCGATTCTCAAAACCGACTTGCATGTGTCAGTGCCTCTTATAGAAAATAGGTTTTTCTGAAAAGACCATAGAGGCCAACCACAAACATTGCAAGAATCAGATTTTACTTTGTTGATACTTCACTTGTAGCAAAAGTATTGTTACTCACTCTTGCATTGTAACTCCCCACAACCAGCATCCTGTGAAGTGAGTTAGGGTGAGAGAAATCATGTTCTAATTTCTTACTGGTGTCTGTATGCTGTTGTTCAGCTATCTGGAACCTTACACTGGAAACCAGCTATTTTATAAAACTAAGCCAGTGTGCTTTTTATCTACGTAGAAAGCTTTGAGTGAAAAGCCTGGTGAAAGACGTAAGACTTGGCTATTAGGAGATGGCTGTTGGTATAACTGGCAACACAGATCAGCACCCACAACCCTCTTCAAGCCCAGATTCAGCTGTGCCGTAGCATCCTACTGATTTCTAGTTGGTACTTTACATCTTCAGCGCCTAAAAAAAATACATTTCTGGCTTTTTCATACTTTAGAGCAAGTATAGACTCTTAACAGTATAGACTCTTAACCCAGTTAAGAGTCTATACTTTAGTCTTTGTAACATCCTCCCTGTATTGTTCTCTGTCAATAAAAGTGGCAAAGCTCTGGATCTTTACCCCATAATTGATAACTAACCTCCAGGCCACACTCTTTGCAATATGTCCGTGATGGCGAATCTATGGCACACGTGCCAGAGGTGGCACACAGTGCCTTCTGTGGGCATGCCAGCTGTCGCCCCAGCTCAGCTGCACATGTGTGCGCACCTCCCACTGGCCATCTGGTCTTTGGGTCTCTGCCACACATGTGCTGGGCACATGTGGGGGGCGGCATGTACATGTGCGAGGGCCACATGTGCAGGGGACCACATGCGCGGGGCCATATGTGCATTGCATTTTGGATGTTCAGGCGCATGCACACACATTCTCACGCTCGCACACATGCTTTGGGCACTCAGTCCGGAAAAAGCTAGCCATCACTGCAATATGTAAACAAGAATCCTGGGTTCAAACATATTACTGGATCGCTAATTTGAACTACTGTTCTACAAAAGAGCTTTCCAATATCTTAGAAAGTCATGGTCCCACATGGAATGTGTAGGACGAGACGTTCATAAGATAAGCTCAGCTTCCAAAGTCACAATCCAAGACATAAAAATTGGAGGAATGTACTAGAGGAAAAAATTAAACTGGAGGATTCCCATTTCAAAAGAAAACAGAAAGCTACTCAAAGGTGTTGACATTTGGTCGTGCCAGCGATCGCATCCAAATGTTTCTCAAAGGATTGGCTCTTCTGTTGCCCTGAATGATGGGTGCCTAATGTTTTAGGGTTAGTCAAGTGCTGTATTTCCCAACAGTGCAGGTAAAAGAACTTGGACAGCACAAGCTAATACTCCAATTGTGGTGACTTTTCTGTCTATACCAAATTCTATTAAACATGGTACCACTTTTCAGTCATTGGAAACCATATTTAGCGTGGTTGTGACAGTGGCAAGGCTTAAATGTCCAGGGGAAAGTTAAAAAAACCACATCCCCTGCTTTATCGAATGTATTGAATAAGCACCACATCTTATAAACATCTTTCTCCACTACAGTGACCAAACAATAGGAACAGCATTCCCAACATCAACTGTAACACTGACAGAAATGCCAGGATCAGTAATATTATAAGGACTCTGATCTAGACCAGGGGACTAAAAACTCTTCAGCTCATCAACCCCTTCATGAAGTTTCAGACTGTTCATCAGCACACAAACATTTATTATACGGGGAAAAAATTAAAGAAATACTACTTTAATAGTATTATGGATCATAACATCAATGCCTTGGATAGTCCCATTAACCATTGGGTTTTTTTTAAATACATTGATCCATTTTGATATTGAGCAGTTTGAAGAACCCTGATCTAGAACATAGGTGCACTCTTTTCTTAGGAAAGGAATATCCTCAGCCTCTCAGTGAAATGCCAAGGGTCATATTCCTCCTTCAACCCGGAAGTGGGAAGGAATTAAAATTAATGATATAGTTAGTATGTATTAACTCCTGATATATTTAATAATTTTCCCCTTCTGTGCATTAAAAAAAAAGTATAGCTCAGAAGCAACTTTGGAAAAGGTTCAGGGACCATAGCCAACACTGGGGAAATGACATCAGATTCCTAATTGTAGGTTGTACACTAAAAGAAGCAGATGTGCAGCTATTTAAATGTGAACCCTGAACTTAGTCATGCTTATTAAGGTAATATATTGAAACCACACAAGAACATGATGAAAGCAAGGATGATAAGTAGAAAGCAAGGATAAAGAAGGATAAGGAAATACAGTAAGTGGTATTAATATAAACGTAGCTTCTTTATTTTCTTTTTCTCATCTCAGTTTTCCTTCTGTTAGCTGAATATTTCGTTTTCATTCTCTGCACTCTGCAGTGATGATGCTTTCTTTGAAAAGGAAGAGGCACGATGGGGATATATGTTCTAACAGAATTTACCTCAGAAGTACACTGCAAGTAGTCCTCGACTTAGGACCACAGTCGAGCCCAAGATTTCTGTTGCTAAGTGAGACACTTGTTAAGTGAATTTTGCCTATTTTTACGACCTTTCTTGTCATAGTTAAGTGAATCACTGCAGTTGTTAAGATACCATGTTTTCCCGAAAATAAGACCCTGTCTTGTATTTTTTTGAACTCTGAAATAAACACTTGGCCTTATTGCCATGCACTCAAAAGCCCAATTGGGCTGATTATCAGGGGATGTCTTATTTGGGGGGAAACAGGAATTGTGTGATCTCCTTTCGCGACCTTCTGACGAGCAAAGTCAATGGGGAAATCAGATTCACTTAACAACTGCATTACTAATTTAAGATCTGCAGTGATTCACTTAACAAGTGAGGGGAGAAAAGTCGTAAAATGGAGCAAATTTACTTAACGAATTTTTCACTTAACATAAATTTTGGCCTCAACTATGGTCGTAAGTTGAGGACTACCTGTACAATAGTGATCAAGAGGCTAAAGAACATAACAGCCTATTCATTAATTTGTTCTCCCACAATTCCTCGAAAACTGCTCAGCTGTAGAATCTTGTTGGAAATATCAAATTTGTGGAAGTAACATGGCCATTCTCTTCTCAAGATTATTTTCAGCATCCCTGTCAATGACCTGCAACCTTATTCTCGGAGGACAGCACAGTGTGTTAGAACCTTACAATTTAGTTTTCAAGGAAAGTCACATTCAGAATATTTTGTTCAAGTATTCCAAGAACTGGATTCAAAAGCACAGTCTGCTTTCTCTCAAAGGTCACTTAAATCATAATTAATTTCTGTCAGATTTTTAGTCAATTTCCTACAGAAACATAATTTCTTCTAGATTTCTAGCGAACTGCAGCCACAATCTCCAAATACATTAACTTTGCTAAACCGTCCTAATCAACTGATTGCAAAAGAAGGCTTTCTCTTAAGATACAATTGTAGCTGCCCCACGCCACTTCCTGTATCATACACACGTCTTAAACTTCTGTAATCAGCATCCACCAGGTGCCGTATCGCATTCAGCACACCCCATTCAGTCAATACAGACATCCCCAAACACACAGAGCCTGGTTTTGTCAAATGTTTTATTGAGTGTAGACATCTGGAGTACTGTAAAACATGCATTATCTGTAGATTCAAAAAGGAGCAAGCCACATTGTCCTCACTGTCAAACATGTCAGGCTTGGCATATATGATGGAGATTAATGAAGTATCAAGAGAGTAATATGATTCCTGGAAAGCTCCTGCAATTTGGAGTAGTCTTAATCACTTGAAATGCAGAGCTGTTCACATTTAAGTGAACTTGTACATTCACTGGAGGTGTCATGATTTAATTCAAAACAAACACCAGGGATTTGATATGGGGGGATTTTTTATTGTTAGAAATACACTTCGCATCTTTCCCACCCCCACACAATATCCTTATCTAAATAAAAACTCATATGCTTTTTTAAGTAATAGAATTTAATTCTGAATAATGAACAGATTGAATAGTTATTTTTTCTTCGGCTGCTGAGGTGTGTTAAACTTAAAGAAGATAATATCTCCATCTTCAACGACATAATTTCGGCCTTGTTGTCTGTATTTTCCAGCAGCCTAGGAGACATAGAAAAACAGATGATGGTATTAAAACTGTGTCTGTATAAAGAGCCAATAATACTTTTTTAAAAACAGTATGTGTTCTCAGTACAATTAATAAATGTTTGGTAACTTTAAACATTTATGTTTAAACTTTGATTTGAGCAAAATTGGATTGGCATAAATAATCACTATTTATTTTTTGCTATGAAGTTAACTTGTATAAGTAAATGGTAAACAGGAATCTGCACATCCGTTACACTGATAGGTATGATACACATAGGGAAGAGGTATTTTTGTAATCACCTCCCCCAAATTTTTAAAACTACCAAAATCTTCTTATTGAATAAAAGACACACCACACTTTTGCATTCCTAGTATACTATGCTAGCCAGACTGCACCAGTTTTGGAATTAGGAAGAACATTTAAGGAACCGCAGCAAGTCACAGAAAGAAAATCTCAAAGGATAAGAGCCTGGAAAGAAAAGCTTATGAAGACTGATGGGAGGCAATGATTAGGTTTGGCCAAGAAAAAGCAAGACTCCATATTTTTAGGCATGTAAAGGACTGTAATACAGAACACAGGGCAGAAACATTCAGGGAATGAGGCAAAACAATAAAGAATGGGTTTAAATTACAAGGAAGCAGATTTTGGTAGGTTGTTGGGGGAAATGTTCTAGCTGTAACAGACTTCTTTATGGGACAAATTTAAATAAGAGGTTGGGTTTATCTGAGATGCTGTACTAGTGGATTCCTGCAATGGACAGTGGGGTGGACTGATGGTCACTCAGAAACCTTCCAACATTTACATTTTATATACTAAGACCCAATACTGTGTCGCTGTATGAGAATAACAAAATTTAGAAAATAGTTTTAGGAAGACATTTATTTATTTTTTTCTCTCTCCATCAATGAAGCTCTATACAATCTAGTAACCATAAACACTCTTCATTTCCTAAATATGCACATTTATGTCAATCACAGTAGCTGGCTTCAGAGAACTAGGGTAAGAACTACAAGAGAAAATGGATGTATTGTGTTCTGTGATGGACTTTTAAATGTGATTGTAAAGTACACACACACAAACACACACACAAAGCCAAAAAAAAAAAAAAAATCCCAGAAAAGAAAAAATGCTGTATTATATACTGTAATGCCAGGGAGCCAGAAAAGGATTCTGAGAATTAGTTTGTCCGTGTTACATAAACGAAAGATCTGCAGATGTCAAGTAACATTTGTCATAAAATCTTTTTTTTCCACCAAGTTTTAAATAACCCGCCATATAGTAAAAAATGTGTATCTCTGTTATTTCACAATCCATGGTAGAAAAGTAAATATATTGGTTAAAATCACTCCCTTAGCCTCACCTAAACAGTACAGCATCCAAATAAAGCAAATGATCCTTATCTTTACTCAAGTTTCTAGTGCTCAAAACAATTGAATGAACAGCAAAAACCAGAAAGTGAAAAACGACAGAGGAAAACTGTTGTAAGTAAATGTAAACAAGAAAGCCAAAAAGTAATGCTAGCACTTAATATTTCCGTAAAGCACAGGGAAGATTTAAGAAGAGAAAAGCAGAATAAATATTTCACGTAATGCATTTAGAGAAGTGTAAATGACCCTAGTTTTTATGTTCTAACTACCATTAAAAAAACAATAGGATATTACATGAATAAATCACACCATTCAGAAAAATATACTCATTATTTCTTAGAAGTTAATTTGTTATATAGGACTGATAGGTCTGCTCTACATGACCAATTTCAGAGAAAACAGAAACCAGGCAGATTCAGATAAGGATGGAATGCAAGGCTGGGTGATTAACTTATTATTATTATTATTATTATTATTATTATTATTATTATTATTATTATTATTATTATTATTATTATTATTATTAAAGTTGTGTTCACTTGGAAACGATTTACAAGAAGCACTTCAACAATAATTAAGTGCACATATAGCACCTCTCTGCTATTCATTGAGGCACCCAACTTTTTAAAAGTTTTTTCTATATAAATGCTGTCGTTTTCAGCAGTCAGCTGACTGACATTAAACTCTTAAAGTAGCCACAACTTTTTCAGGTTTGTGCAAAGGCCAAAAAAGGTAAAATTGCTTTAAGGAATAGCAGGGTGTTCATACAGGTTCTGCAGCACTCCTTCCAAATCATTTGTGGAGTTGTGTAAAGCCCTATTCTCTACAAAAAATAGCAACAGCAACAAACGTCTACAATTCAATTTTGAAAGGCACTTTTAAGATAATTTATGGGAAAGGCATTTATTATGCAGTTATTAAGCAGCTGGTATTGGATGTGGTATTACTAAGGTTCAGAGTGTATTTTTAACAACAGTACCTTTACCATACCAGCTCTTTCCCATACAACAGTGAAATGTATTATGAGAACAGTCTGACATGTTCTCACATTGTATCTTGAGCACACATTAAGCTTCACTGGATTTCTTTTCATTTATATAATTAAATCAAAATGGATTGCAGTATTGCAATATAACTGGTAACGTGTACGCTTTCCAGAATGTGTTTAATACTTATCTTTTCTGCCACTTTAGCACTACAATTTTGGTGTAGCACCTTTGGGGAGTTCCTTGAATGCTTCATCCAAGGTTTCTTATAGATTTTCAGGATTGTGTCACTTCTGTCTTTAGCACATTCCTTGACTTCCTTTTCCCTATTTCATTTCTGACATCATTTGCATTTCAAACCATAGGATGTTTAAAATGGTCCATCTCAACTTTCTGAGATGGCAGCCAGTGGGAAAAGGTAGTCTGGATGAAGTAAGACTTTTGCACAAGTAGCCCAGAGAAAGAGGTACGGTAATATATTCATGGCAATCCATGATCTACTATGCCAATCATTTTCTTCTTTTATATGCGGTTAAAAGGAGGGGGCAAGAGAAAGGAATAACTGCTGCCATCTTTGACAATTTAGTACTCTTCCAAATTCTGGGTGGTGTAATCTCAATATGTCTGGCAGCTGAGGAAAGCTGAACT